TGCAGGACCGCCACGGCGCCGAGCTGGAGGAGTACCAGGTGCGTGTCCCTCTGGTCCCCGGCCTCTACCGGGCTGCTTCCTTCCCGCCCTCAGCTGCTGGTTTTGATGCCCGTCTGAGTCTCCTTCCGCCCTCCCACTCTTTTTCCCTTTAGTTCTGTCCCCTCGTGAGATATGATCCCGATTTCCCATGACTGGCACTCCCTCCCTTAGACTAACTCCCATCCCTGCTGTCCCCTCTGCTCCGAGAACTGCCCGAACCCCTTAGAAGGCTCCCTCTGGCTCTGCGTGGGGTCTGCTCACCCCACTTTGCCCCCTGCAGTAGGATTTCCCCAGGCTGGAAGAGGACGTGGCCCAGCAAGAGCTTGGTGCTGCTGAGCCCTTTTCTGGGTGAGCTAGGGGGAGAGCTAGGTGCAAAGAGTGGGGATCAGAAGGGAGACGGTGCCCCTGAGGACACCTTCCTGGTGACAGGTGCTCCCTTCCCAACCTGCCCTCAGCAGGGACCCAAGAGCGTGGAGCTGGCACGCAGGCTTGCCAGGGCTCCTGCTCAGGTTGGTATGAGCGCGTGGGACGTGGTGCAGTCCCTGGGAGCAGATGAACCAAGTCCCTGTGTGATGGGACACGAAGCTTCCCTTCTAGCCTGAGACTTGAGGTTGACCTGTCGCAATCAGAGAAATTATCTGAATTTTTTTCCTGCCTCACACCTGCCTAGAGAAGAGTTTGCGGGCCTCAGCATGGTTAAGAAAACTTCTAGTTGTTTGAAAGCAGGAAGATTTGTTACTGGGCTACAGGCAGCGAGCAGAGTGGGAATTTTTTGAAATAAAACTTTAATGATGTAGGTGGCTGGTATCTGTTCAAGGTGGATGTTGTTAAACAGCATTTGTAGCTGACAATTTGCTTGCTCTCAGAATAACGTTTGGTGGCACATATAATCGCCCTGTTCGTGTCAACAGATGAGCAAATGCCGGAACAGCAAAGTATCAGCTCATCAAATTCAGAGTGGAAAGCATCTATTAGATCATCCAGACCATCGATCGATTTCCTGAGAGCAACATTTCTTTTGTTCATCGTTAGACCTTTTATTAACACGCTGCTGGAGCCCGGTGTTTGTCTGCACCATGTGTGCTGATGACCATGTTGTGTCCAGCAGCCGCGGTAGATTATGGAGATGCTGGCAGCTGGGAAGGGACTGGGACCTGGTGCTGGGTGTCTGGTTTTTGTACGTTGCTAGATTGTTTGCAAGTTGCATAGTTTGCAGATGCTGTGAACTGAGACAGATTAGGTATGTAAGAAGTAATCAGAAAGGCTTTTAACTTTTAAATCAATTTTTTTTTTTCACTTAAGACAGGACAATTCATTCTTCCAATCTTGCATGTAAATGTTTCCAAAGCTTTAGAAGAAGTTGGTATATGGAAATCCCTCATTAATTAAATCTATCCATCAGTCAAACCAGGTGAAAATGTGAAGAAGAAAAAAAACCTCTTCATTTTTTCCCCGTTTTGTAAGGAGTATAAGTTTATATAAATGTACATAAATATTTAAAGTTACTTTGATTTCCAAAATATGCCCTCCTTGCTGTCTATATTTGTTACTAGGGATTTATAATGAAAATTTAATTGCTCTTCAGTCATCATTGCTCAAATTGAAAACCTTTAAATACGGTGTTATTTTAGGAAGAGCATTTTGGATAGCTTACTATCCATGCTACAAGTTTTTCTTCTAACGCCGGTTAGAATGGATGTGTTCAGATACCTAACTCTTTCTTTCAACTCAGCAAGGTGTTTTTATACCAGTGTGTTGTCTCTGTATCTGGTTGTATTTTTGAAGAATTTTATTCAGAAGAGCAAGCAGAGACAGAGCAACCCATTGTAGAAGTCAGATAATCAAACTCAGTGCATGCCTGATTCAGCGCTCAAAAATGGATTTGTTGTTTTGATACCAACATAACAAACTTCTGTTTAACTCCCACGAGCATTTGGCATGCTTTGGATTTTACAGGAACAATAGCTTCAAATCTTCGTAATATGAGGGGAAAAAAAGTGCTTTGATAGCCAACCTAAAACCATGTGAGCTGTCTTACCTTTGAATATATATCTAGATAATATTTAAATTCTGGTGTGAATTATATCATAAGGTTTATAACTGCTGAAGGGTTTAATATCTAAAATGTCTGGTTTCTAATGAGAAAGGCATTTCCCAGTGGCCAGTCTACTGTACATGAGAAATAAAATATCTTGCTCACAGGAAGAAAAATTACCGAGTGTGTAGAAGCAGCTGTTTCAGGTTTTGTTCTTGTGATTAAAGCTTTTTTTCCTTCCTCGTTGTTTCTTTTCTTGGTGAAAGTATGTTCAGCATGGATTTTAAACTACTCTTTAAAGAGCATCTATTCCATGCTTATTTACTGTAAAGTGTCACACAGAAATGATCAGTATGTACAGATTTAAGCCAAGTGATTATTGTTCATTGCAGCTGCAATGACAATTAGATTTATTCATATTTTCCATATATCATCCAGTCGCCTTATATGTCCTTCTTTGCCTCCTGCGCTGTCCTTATCCTCACTAGAGCTTTCAGCAAGGTTAAATAGGAATATGTATCTGGAGTTATAATCCAGCTGAACCAGGCAAGCTGTAAATCAGACTTTGGAAAATTTTCGCTGGTCCTGGGTGCTAAAGGGATGAACTCAGTAGGGCTCTTACTTCCATAATTTTAGCTGTGTCCTGTGCTGTGACAGTAATGCAAAAACTCTCAGGGATTTGAGAAAGCCCTGTATTTTTTGGGATGTAAAAATGGCCATGGCTCATCTTGCTGCTCTGAAAGGAGGCAGAACTGTTTCAGTAACATGGTGGGTTTAGGATCCGTTCCTGCGTCAATATTACAAGCTCCAGAGAAGAAAAAAACATCTTGTCAAATGAATGTATAATATCAATATGTCGTCTGTGGTTTTTTGTGTACCAATTTCTAGCCAGCTAAGGGCAGAGTGTCTGTTCCTCCCCTGCTGAGCTGCTGAATGAGCTATGGGATCGGTAAATAGTCCCAGCTGGAAAGGGCTGGAGCCCGGAAACCTCTTTTTATTCCCTGCGTAGGTGCAGCTTGGACAGTCCAAGTAAATTCTTTTCCCCCTACTGCCCTTCTAAAATTTCCCCCTGCTGCCTGGAAAGGAACATCTGAAGGGTCAGAAAATCACTTCTATTCAGTTACTCCGTTCTAGAAGGACTTCGCTGGGATCTGGGGGGCATGGGTTTGATGTGGTTGAGAAGCAAATCCTTCCGAGAAAGTCCTGTGTGAAGCAAACACAGCTGCAACAATACAGGTTGCCTTTTGCAAAAAGGGAAGTTTGTCAGCTGGTAATCTCCTGAACGTTGCCAAAGTGGTTTATGCTTGGAAACAGGACTTACGACCATTTGTCTTCTGCTTTATGTTTAAGTATCAGTGAGTGGAGGGAGGGCTAGATGGGTGGCTGTCTGCCATCCAGTCTATACAATGTCTGCTCCTGTTGGAATGAATTCCTTTGGAACTGCTGCGCAGCTGGCTGAGTTCTGTGGCCCCTTATGGTAATCATTAGGACACTGCATTTAACTCAAACTGTTGGATCCCAAGTGCTGTCCAAATCCAGTCAGTAGAATCTAGGTGCCTTGTCAAACCCAGACTGCGGAACTTGGGGGTGAGGGACTCGGGTTCCTATGCCTTTAGATAGGTGTGAATATCCTCTGTCGATCTCCGCACACTCCGTAGTCCAGTGTAGAGGCTCCGTGTATAGATTCTTCTGGCACTGAAGCAAGACCTGTGCGTTGTGAAGCTCTTTTTAATGTATGTGTGCACATGTATAGGTTAGTCTCTGTTTAATCAGGGAGGCAAAAAACACCTGAATTTCTTCCTGTTTTGTCTCGGAGCTCTTATCACCTTTAGCGGTTGGTCCCATAGAGATCCACTCTTTCTTGTCTCTTGCTCCTTTTGCTGACTGCTCTGGTTCTGTCCACACCCTGTCCATTCTTGCCTTTTCCTTTTAAAAGCAGAGCCTGGCACTTCTCTTGCTTCTCATCTTGGGATTTTCCGTTGTGTCAGTTCTTGTACAGGATTGTTGCTTCAAAGCCGCTAAAGGTCAGCGGTTCTGCTGGCTGCTGTGCGTGACCATACAGGATGTTACCTCCACTGCAGCCTGGATGAGGCTGTTGGATGGTTGATAGTGCTCCTTCAGATATGCAGATATGATTTGTTTTCTGCCATAGAAAGGGAGTTTTAGGGTACACTGAAGACTGTAGGCAAATTTGTCATGTCAAAGAAAACATTAGTGATTGTTTAACAACAGCTAGAAGTGCAAATGAAGAAATAGATTAACATATATGTTATAGAGAGATACCCACATATATATGAAGATACAGGCAGCTTTCTTTTTACTTTAAAAAAAAAAACTATTAATGTTTGAAATTCCAGCTCTTTATATTCTTAATTCTTAAACTGGCATTAAATAATCTAGGGAGTTCTCTGCTGTATCTTCATTTTTATGCTATTGCTCATGCTGTGATACTTGAACACATCCTGCATACAAATTACATATTTTGAATTTTTTAAAACTAGACTATCACTGTCTTGATTTTTTTTTTCCAGTTTGCATTGCAAAGTATATGTTAGGATACAATCTAAAGTATGCTCTCATGAGTTCCTCTTCAGTGCTGTAAACATGTATGGGATTTTCCTCTGTAAATGACAGTTCAGTGTCCTTGCATAGTGCAGAGTAATGTGAACAAAATAGGATCAGGCCTTTGCTGAGATTTAATTTCTGTCTTCCCAGCCCCCAGAACAAAGTGTAATTTGGAGCATTTCAGGTAGCATCAATCTGCTGGCTGAGGAGGATTGATCTGGGTTACTGGATTCTATCCCCAGTGAGGAAACCATTAAGAACCGCACTGAACAGCTAACACGGATACTTTTAGTTCCACATCTGTATTGAACAAACTCCTTTCAGTTATCAAGGGAGGGCTTATTTTCCGGAAGATGGCAATTTGCCCTTCGTGTGAGAGGTAACAGCAGTGATTAAAGTACTTGCTTTCAGCAGTGTTCTTTTCAAGAGCATGAGAATCGGTTGTCTTGGTCTAATCCAAATCTTAGTGTTCTGTTGCATAAATCTTCATTGCTTTTTCTGTTGTGTACAGTTATTCGATATTTAATCTTCCATTTAGTATTTCAGAGCATGTTCAAATTTAGATCATTTTGAACTTTGGTATTTTTCTGTTAGTTTTTATGTTGGTTCAAAACTAAAAATCAATATTTCTGTTTAGAATATAATCGACACCCTAGAAGAAGAAAAGCAGTTCCTGACCCAGTCAATCACAGATTACCTGAAGGACTATCAAGAACTACTCCAGGTGAAAGCAGGCCTCATCCTTGAAATTGAAACCTACAGGTAAGAATTGTCGTCACACTCAATTGTCTAATCGGAGGATAATTTAAATCCCTTTTTATAGATATGGGAGCCCTGTTCAGCCTCTTTCCAGCATTTAAAACACAGACAGCTACTTTTAGAGTCTTAGATCAAGACTCCTGTTTGTACTGCGGTTTGTTAAACAGAGTGAGTGGACCCTTAGTATCAGTTTTTAGCTCACTGTTGGCTTGTTCTGCAACATGGGTCTCCACGCCATTCTGTGCTTGACTGTGCTGTCTGTGAAAGGAAGATAACACTCCTTCGGAAGGCTGCTAATACAGTTGTCCAAGATCTCTGGGAAACACTGTAAGAATAGTAAAATGCCATTATTCATTAGTAACACTGATGAGCATTGCCAGTGGGCAGAGGTGACTGGAATTTGATCACTCGAGCAAAACTAGCTCTGGTAGGAATTCATTCTGTTCCTCTGTCCCTAGAACAACATGTTAGAGAAGCCGATATAATCCACAGGAAGCTTATTAACTTTGTACAAATGTATTGATATAAGAAACCTCCTTAGCGCTGGTCAAGTTGATATCGAATTGATGTGAATTGTTGATGCAATATTTGATTACAAGCTGAGGAGCCAGTATCCCTAAATTGCGATCAATAAAACATGAGGCAGCGTAGTTGCCATCTGTCAACTTACATGGCACATTTCATTGTTTAAATATGTTGATTAGTGTCCACCTGCAGCATTGATGCAAGTAGTGAGTTCCCCAGTCTTGTTGCAGTTGTAGAATAGTGGGAAGATAACAGAAAAGTCAGATTAAATCCTGGCTTTCTCCATCTTTGGTTTGTTATGGAAATATGTTTGGATCAAGTATGAGATACCAGCAAACAACGTCTCTACTAATGAATCTTCAGTACTGTATATCTCTCCAGCCATTGAAAAGCCAGAGTAATTCTTCAGTCTGGAGAATCATGATGTATGAGTTGGCACATGGCATACAAGCAATTCAAAAGGGAAAAAAACAAAACAAAACCAGAACTCTATAAACTGGAGAGAGATGCTACTTTATAGTAAAGTCTATATTGTGTGCATTATTCATATTCAACCTGCGTAAATAGAGAGTGGTATTACCAGTTACATCTGATATATGCTTCTGTGTCCTAAAGTGTTAATGCTGTGTCCTAAGTGTGTAATGTTGCTATGAATCAGTAAGCATTAAGTCTGGATAAAGATGGCACCAGCTGAATTATGGGTGGAATGTGTAGACTAAAGCAATAAATATGAAATTGAACTGTCGTTGCATAACTGAAAATATGAGGAGCTTGAAAGAGTAAATTCTGAGGAGCTTGATAACATACTAGTGAGCAAAGGATGTCTGTAGTCCATCAAAGAGCAAAATCAATCTGTTCAAGATGACTTGAGAATTGTCTGCTATGAGTTACAGACCAAGGCTGGCTTCTGGATGAGATGAAATCACAAGCAGTATGTGGGACAAGTAATTTGCAGTCAACTGGTGACAGTAGTTCCTGCATGTTTGTTGGTGGAGTAGGATCCTTGTGATCCTTGGAAAGCCAGTAGTGTCTGGAGCATTAGAAATGGTAGCTAATTGTGATCCTTATCTGTGTGTGTTAATTCTGTTAAGTTTGCTAAAACATAGGATTCTTCTAAATCTAATCCTAGCTCTGATGTTGACTTTTATTGTTGTCACTTAAACTTTCTCTTTTGGTTTATTCATCTGCAAAATTAGATTAGCACTTTCACAATGACAGAAGTTTCAGAATTGCTTTGATGATTAGTATTCATCCAGAAGAGGGAATGATAATGCCCAGATATTTAGTTGTTTGGTCATGCTCTTAGTTAATAAGTGAACCGTCAGTGCTTCTGCTCTGTAAAACCTTGTAAGCCTATTAAATTCTGGAACTCCTCCAGAGGTCATCTCACTGCTTATCTGAGCATTATTGGTTTGTCCAAGGATTCCCTGCACTCATTAATGATGGGAGAACAATTCAGCATCACCTGCAGCGTTTGTTTTCCAGTTGACAAGCTTCTTAACCTGTTGGGTTTCTTCATCTGATTGTAGTGAATGCAACTTGTAGCACTGATTCCCTTGACAAGGCAGACTTAAGTAGACAAATGAAAAAAACTTGAAAAAAATTTACAGATTAAAACAGAAAAGTAGGCCTTACTACAGATCAGCAAACAGACTATCTAATACCTGCAAACAAAATTCTTTTAAGATATCAGAAGCTGAAAAGTGATTGTTTTGATTTGTGTTTTTACATTTATGTAGTTTTTCCGATTCCTCTTTTCTTTGTATTCTCCCTTCACTTAAGAAAATCATGCCTTCCCTACCGTATGCCTTTATCAACACTGCTGTGGGAGGGAATCAGCGTGGATCCAGTTAGTAACAGAATTCTGGACTGCTCATCTAGGTACTTTTTCTAACCCTGTTCCTCTCCCAGGTCTTTTTATCTGTGATAACCAGGGCATATGAAGCCAGCTTCAGTTTCTTTTCACAAAGGATGCTGGCATTTACCCTTGCTTACGCATACTGGAAACGAAAGGCACCTATTCACACTTATTCAACATCCTGAACTTTCAATTGAGATGTTTCCATGAGGGCCTTGGCACTTCCTCTCCTCTCGGCTTTATAGGTTAAGGGTGTGGTCTACTTCTTGGAGTTTTCTTTGTACCTCCCACCCTATATTTTCTCTTTGTTTTGCAACTCCTACAGGTCCTATTTTAAAGCCAGTTCTTTCTGTTAGTCAGCATTGCTCCTGGACTGGCAAGAAGGGCCATTATTGCAAGGAACACCCTTCCCCAAAGACCAAGTGTACTTCCTCTCTGGTTCTGCTTACCCTTCCTGCTCTGGGAGCTATGGCTCACTCAGGAAGTGAAACATATGTCTTATGTAGCTTTATGAAGTTATACCTCATGGGAATCTTCGTTCTCAATCCTTTCACCAGTGTTGAAGTAAATATTTATCAAGTGTCTTGCAGTTTTGTTCCGTGTTCTGGAACTCTGAAAAACAGCAACTACTTCTAGATATGCTTAAGTTTTATTTCCAGAGAGAAGTGATGAATCTCTTAATTTTGAAAGGAGATAGAAAATCTGCCTAGGGTCAGGATTACTATCAAACCTTTCTCCTCAGCTATCAGAAGCTGCTTCTGTTCAATAGCAGAGGCTGCCCAGAGCCTCTGCCATAGGTTAAGTACTTTTTCTGCCCCCTCTGAAATATGTTGCTATTGAATGGTAAAAGATTTTACTTTGAAATCTTAGTGTCATGCAAATGTTCTGTTCTAGGTTGCCACCCTGTGCTTTTTTTGCCTCTTTTTTTTTTGGTCATGATCATTGTCAGGATATCGTAATACATTTGTCAGGCATACTTATACTTTCCAATCGTCCTTCGGTTGGTTTCCTCCATCAGCACTTCTTCTGACCCTTTCTATGCCTTCCTCTCAAGAAATCATCACCAGCTTTAAAGCTTCCTCAGCTATTCACCACAGCTTTTTCAGCTGGTTTCATTATTTTCTGTTTACAACTTGTACCATCCAGTATGTCCTATTCCTGGGTTTATTTTGAGAAAATCCTGAGTTTTCTGCACCCAGGGAATTTAACATGAGTCACTTACCTGCTGTTCTTCATACAGTCCTTGTCCTCCCATCCCATGATGGAAAAAAAAGTTGTGGAGTGGCCTTTACCCCTAAAAATGTTTCTTCTGTTCCACTTCCCGGAGAGGTTCGTTTTTGGTTTTTTGTTGTTGTTGTTGTTTGTTTTTTGTTTTTTTTTTTACAACTCCTTCCCAAATACCCAAGATAGAATGCATTTTTACAGCCTGGTGGCTAACTGCCCCTGTCTGAGATTTTGGGTTTCTGTAGTTGAAGCACAGTGATTGCTGCTGTGAATGACCATGATAACCTTGGCACTGCATCCTTTTGGTTTTGGTAACTTCCCTCTCCCCACCCCAACCAGTTTTATCCATCTGCTTTCATGGACTAGATATTTCTGTGGTCATCCAGCACGCTGCAGGGCTTCAGGATGACTAGCATGTCACTGCTAACTTTAGATAAATGACATTAATAATGAGATGAGTTAAAGGTGCAGCTGGAGTATTTTCTGGCAACATGTAAACGAAGTATTAACACAATGTGGGTATATGTCATTGGGAGCCGATTTCCAGGAAGTAGCTGACACGGTTATTTTTTTAGAAGAGTGCTGCTTGGAGGAACATTTTTTTGTTATTACTGTGAATACTTAAGAGTTCATACAGTTGAGATTAACGCCCTATTCTTCAAGCAGTTTTAAATTAAGATTAAAAGCAGTCCTCACCACAAAGAGCATATGGTTTAAATGATTAGTATTGGGAAAGGATGCAAAGGAACAGAGGCAAAATGACTTGCATAAACTGAAGCTATGGTAAGCTGAGGAACATAACCTGAGTTTGCTGGCTCCCAAGCCAGTGCTCACTATATTACCCTGCAGTTTCTCATGCTAATTTATTAAGCCAAAGTCAGTTTAACATTTTCTTGTTTATCTGATAAGCTTGACAAAATACAGACTATGAACTGTGTAGAGTAAAACACTGATTCACTGTCCAGTTTTAGAGAGGTTTCATGAGGCTTTGCCTTTCATTTTCAAATAGAACATATTTTCAGTAGTAATATTTCAGATCCAGTTTTTTTGTGTGCTGTTGCCCTTTGCCATATACAGTTACCTCTTGGAACTTATTTTTAGTGACTTCATACGTTGCTGCAGCAACTGAACAACTGTTGTTTTAACAGCAGCCAGAAATCCTTAGTCAAACTACCCACATTCCTAGTTTCCTTCGTCATGGTTAACGCTTTCATTGCCAGCTCCTTGATGTGTTTCTGCAACGTCACCACCAGCCTCTCTAGCACATCTATCAGGACAATTTGTTTAGCACTCACCAGCTTCATGAGGTCTTGGGAACATTCTCTGTATGTGTTGCAGTGATCTAACTTCCTCTTAACATGGAGGAAGATAAATTGCTTTTATTTTGGTTTTACCTAATAAAGGTTATCCTAGGGTTGAATTTGACTAACAAAAGAGAAGTAAAGGTGTCTGCCTGAGTCTGTTTTAAGGGAGCAAGTAACCTGTAAATATGATAGGTAGTTCTAACCTAGCTTTTCTGAATCGGGCAAATCCATGGTTGCAAAGAAAACATTACTAATGGTGTTTTGCTGATGTAGCATTGTCCTACTGAACCTAGAGATAGTCAGAAACCAAAAGAAGCATAAAATGTCAAAAGTGATCAGTCACGTGAAATGTGAAATCTAGAGGTGACATTTAAAATGCCTGCATTGTTCATGTTGACAGAAATGCCCAGCAAGTACGTTTACACCAAAATCCTAAATTGCTTTCAACTACCCCCTAGGGAGTCGGAAGCCTTGGCTATCACAGTCCTCCAGCTTTACTCGTAACAACTTTCATGTTGCAGCTGTATGTTATCAGTGCAAAACATCTGGCATTTCCAAAACTGGAAATGATGAAACAGTTATCTCACTAGCAGAAATGAATATAAAAACACCAAAGTTACTGTACTGATTATAGCATTCCAGTGCATATTGACAGAACCTGCCACAGAATTTATAAGCTGTTGCACCAGAATGCAGTTTAGCACTTTTTGGGGAGTTTAACATAGTTTGTGGCCCTGCCAAAGTAGAAAAGGGATAAACTGCTTTTTTTTTTCTTTTTTTTTCATCTTTTTTTTTTTTTTAAAAGGTAGACATATTTTATGTCAGACAGGACAGCAGGAGAGAAGGAAAGCACACAGATTTCCAGAGAATTTATCAGGAATTCTGAGATCCAGTCTTACTGGATAACTATCTTTAAAGGACTGAATAAGATCATCCAAATATCTACTTTTTGTATTTGGTATATGAAAGAAGCCAAAAATTTTATTGGGTTTTTTCAAGAGTAGTTTGGTAATTCTAAAAAATGCGCTTAGTCTTCCCTCCACCCTGCCCCTCAGGACAAAAGTATGCTGTGTGCCTATTTGAAAATTCTTCATGCAGAGCAATTACTCCTGAAAATGTTCTGCCCTTCAGTTGTGCTAATCTCTGGGAAATGTACCTTTGGAGTATTTTCTACCACTGTAGAAAGGAGATAAATGTAGGATAGTAACTTTATACAGGGATGGAACAAGCCTGGGGCTGCTGTCAGATGGGTCTTGAGGGAGCGTGGTTCTTGTATGTGTATGCTGTATAGGGAGCAAAGCAGTGTAGTGATATTATTTCCATAAAGTAAAGGTAAGCAAATTGGTGTCCTGTCCATTTCTGATAAATTGCTGCTGAGCTAACATGATGTCTTGGTTGGTCAGCAAGAGGAAGCCTTGACCACAATGATCCTGTGGAAGTGGTGGCTTCCTGGAACTATGGAAGCTATTAAGAGAGTCACTGAGAAAACCAGAATGAATGGAAGGCTGAGAAACAGAAGGGACAGAAGAGATGTCATTAAAAGAAACCAAGCAGTTTCTGCCACAAAGAATTTTCCTAGTCCTTTGTTGTAAAAATATGTTGTGTTGATTTCAGATTGAATAGGAACTAAGAATAGTTACTTCAATACTGTAAGTTGTTTTCTCCAACACTAGCCAGTGTCTGACAGTATAAGTAATACTTCCATCCTTTTCAAATGAAAATTGAAGGAAACTTAGAAATCCTGAGTGTAACAGTTCCCTCATATATCTCACTGCAACAACACCTTTCATACTATATTGCCAGCAGGAAAGCTGCTATTTGCTTGCAAATATTTTTTTTTCAGTTTTGCCTTTTCTTTATAAAACATCTCCATGTGTCTCTCTGAGAAAGTTTTACTGAATATCTGTTAAGTTTTGTTTGGCTTTGTTTTCTCCTAACTCTGTTATAAAATCATCATTCTGGAAAAATTTGCTAGCTTGTATGATTCCATAGTGGAAATGAGTGGATCTTGTCCATGTCAGGAAGCAGTATATTGACTAATGTGGAAGATTTTATATGAAACTGTACTGTGTCTGCTTCTGTCACCTACCATAAGATAACCGCATTGTTCTCAAGAACTGGACTCTGCAAACTAACAGTCTGGAAGATGCTAACGATTTCTCATTCCCTGTAATAAAAATATGGGGTGTGAAAAATGCTCAGAATCTGTCCCAACTGCAGAGTAATTGTTTCAGTTTAAGACTTATGAAAGTTTAATATTATAATTATTTTTCCCAATATTTTAATGGAATGCTTTTTTATGTGTTTTACAGAGCTTTGTTAGAAGGGGAGAGCAAGCAGTGGATTATTACATGGAGAGATGAGCATATAGGGAAATTGCCTCCAGGTAAAAAATTAATATTAAAAAATGAATGTTGAATGAAATTACATGTAACTGGAAACTATTGTGTTACTAGTATTCCTGAAGCATGCTTTTTACAAGTGTATTGCAAAGCGAATATTGAATTGGTTTCGAGTGTAAATATTTTAAATCAACATAGTGCTACACTATATGAGATAATGTATAAAATCATGACTCAAGTGGAGAAGGTACGTAGCGAGTGGTGTTTCATAGCTCTAATAGTGCAAGAACTTTTGGATGCCCATAGCTCTTAAGAGAGTTTGGAAAGTATAAAGCAAGAGGTATTTAACAAACCATGTCGTTAAAACCATGGAATTCATCATCATGAGGCATTGTGAGTGTTAAAAAGCTTACATGGGTTTAAAGGGAACTTTTAGCAGAGTAATGAAACAAAATTCAAAGACTTGCTAAACATAAAGATACCATTTCTATCTTAGGAGCTGCAAATCTCTGGAGGCTGTGAGAGTATACCAGGGAAGTATCACTATTTACTTGCCCTGTTCTTATACTCTTCCCTATGTATAAGATGGACCTTCGATCTGACTGCTATGGCCATTGTTATTAGTAACAGAATTAGTCTCAATAATACTCCTCAGTTTAACAATGTGCGGTCATAAAATCATCAGACTACTGTAGACTGTAGTCCCAGAAGAGATTTGAAGGCTGTGTCTGTAGTAGTGAATTAAAGAGACTTCGGCCTAGGTGAAACACTCCAATCAGAATTGCCTGTGCTGTTAAATTCTTAGTATTGTCCCTGGCACAGTTTTGATCCAGCCCACTACTTTTGCAGACAATGCTCAGGCATATTCAGTGGTTACCGCAGAGCAGGAAGCACTACCAACAGTCAGAGGAGATGTGGTTAGCTTTTTAGGAGTAGGAGATTTGAGTTGTGTAGTGCTGGTTGGTCTTAGAGACAATGATTCCTGGTGCATTTTATTAAATTGTATAGATGTAGCCTCAAAGGTTCTTTATTTCTCTCCCTTCTTGCACCTTGTTTTATCTTGTGGCTATGAAGGGTTATATGTGTGTTTTCAGCTTCCAGTATGTGGTGGCAGGTATGCCATTAATTCTCAATAAGAACTAAGAAACTTCAGGCCACTTCGACTAATGAAGCAAAAAACCAAGCCTAGGATATTGGCATACGTTATTTAATAAGACGTTGTAAATGTAAATGAACAGTAATATAAATATGAAAGGTGTAATTCTTAAGTAAATGCCGTAATACCCAGTAGCTCCCAATAGGTAAAAATAGCAAGAACTTGCAACTTGGTAAAAAGCTTTGCTTTCAGTTTTAGTATCATTTATGCATAGGCTTAATTATTGTGCAAAG